TTAACGATTGTAGCGCGATGTGCGCAAGCAATTAGTAGAACGTAAAACGATTATTTATCTATAAGTACAAAAGTATGCTGTGATTTATTTCTAGATATGCTCTGTCGTATAAAGGTTGATCAATTCGTCGAAAATAAAAATTTTAAAGAAAGCAACGCGAAGTGAAAAATGCAATCGCGCTGTATAGTGGTTGGCGATAGCGACGAAAAATTTAACGCGACAACAAAATTTCCGTTTGTGTGTGTAAAGCGAACCTCCTCGTTGCGCGAGTACTGCGCCATTTTTTCCGCGTATCTTGCGTCGTATTGATCGTTGCAATTGTAAACGGCACGATCTAGCATCGTCGCGTCGTCGAACATACGCTGAAATTTATTTCAACCAAGTTTCTGACCGGTTTTTTTTTTTCTCTTTCTCGGTCTTCCCCCCTTTTTTTGCAAAAGTTCTCGTGACGTAAATCTTGCGTGTTTACTGAAAACTTCGGGTGAAAAGCAGACCTACTTTGCGTATGATTTATTCGTCGGCGTACACGCGGTTGCAACGGATGAGTTTTTAATGGCGTATAATACGGAAGTAAAATTGCCGGCTCTCGTGGGCGCGGGAATTAGAACTCGCGTGAGACGCGAGGGCGGCACATCAGTTTTCCATCACGGATCGAGAGGAATTACCCCGGTAAATAAATTCCCTCCCGGTTCCGGAAGCGGAATGATAAGGTATCGCGATGTCCTAGAGAGACGCCAGTTACTTCCGCGAAGACTCGTCGATACGTCTTCCTGGGAATTTAGAAGCTCCACCGACTGATTACTTCGAGAGTAACATTCGAATCTCATACCACGTACGTCACTGCCGTTTCGTACACACACGGTGCACTTTTGCGATTCTAAACTTCGTTACCGTGTTTCAATTAATCTGAGTTTCATTTCCATCGCAAAAAGATCGCGCGATTAATTTTATTCTATTAATTTTCAAACATAAACAAAAACTAAATGTCTGGCATATTGAAACGCTAGCTCTTGAATATTGTTTTTATTTTTCAATGTAATTTTATCTTTTCAAAGAAAAAATTAATATTAATAATGTTTTTTCTACACTTTTCTCGTGGAATATTTTTCCAGTCTCATGCAATGTTTGTAAAAGACGGGTACAAGCGTACTTTTTAATATTCCTTTGCTCTAACAGAGTTAAACTATTGTGCATTTATTCCAGTAAGTATAAACCTCATTAGACACGAGTGATAAGAGAATGACTTATGCATTCAGCATAGAGAGAAATGTAACGGGCATATATCTTTTCACAGCTATTTGAAATACAAAAACTTCTTTTGAATCTACACGATTTATGCAAATTATGTTGATATACGTATGCGTGCATGAATCCTTTTGACATCTTAAATATGATAATTCGTTATTTACATAATACTTCCTTTTTAAATTGCATATACAAAATGTTTTAAACATATTGTATACTTTTTAATAAAAAAAAATATTAGAAAAAAGATTAATAAAGAGTTCTGGAAAAAAGCTTTTAAAAAAACCTAATTTTTTGCAAATCTTTATCCATATTGAGTTAAACAATGGCATTGAAATCTTTTATCAATAAAATAAAGAATTAATTTGAAAATATTTGGAACTCGTATAAAAATATAATCTGTTAAAATGTTGAAAATTGTTTCATTTGATAAGTTTAAAATAGTTATTATTGAGCTCTTTTCAAATTTTAAAATAAAGTATCAATTTGAAAACATTTTAAATCGGTATATAAGTGTCGAAAAGCGTAGTCCTGTGTTAAAATTGTGAAAATTTGTACCATTTAATAAATTGAAAATAATCACTGTTCAATTTTTCTCAATTTCATAAAACTCGTCAAATCAGAATTGTGAAATCAGACTTACTTTTAAAATAGATATAATGTTCAATATAAAATAATTAAAATCGTCAATGCAAATTAAAAATTTTAAATAATTTTAACAAATTAATCAAATTAATCATATTTTAACTGTCCTTCTACGTCGATTTCAATTAAATTTTAATTATTGTAGAAAAACAAAGTTAAATACCTTTGTAATATTTATATAACAATTAAAACGTTTGACAATTTACTATCATTTAGATATAATGACGATATTAAAATGTTCCTCGGTGTCTCATTATCCAGTAATTATCTGCCCGAACGATTATAACGTTTTTTTATATGCTCTACGCATAGAGCGCGCTGTATAACTCATCCCCTCGCCGTTTATTTTATAATGTTATAATTTACTCGCAATAAACGCGATTTAATGGCAGATAAATGCATCTGAACAAAGATATGCCCTTATCTCGTTGGTTTTATGTCAGTTACCGGGTCTTCGTGTACCTGCACGGACAGCAGCAACTCCGCGTCATCTGTTTGAGATCGGAAGGAAAGAGAGAGAAAGAGAAAGAGAAGTAAAAGATATACGAGCAGATAAATCACGCTTTCGTGCCACTTTTCCTTTTTTTTTCCTTCTGCCCTATCCGCCTTGGTCGTCGTTGCCGCCATGACGACGCGTTTCCACGACGTGCCATTATTAAGACGCCGGGCGCCACGACGTCTTGCCGCGATCGCTCTATATGTACGGGTGCCGCCTTCGTGAGCGCCGCGTAAAGAATTTATTTATTCGATCCGTAATTTCACTTACATCCAACTCGACTGCGAAACTCGCTGTTAATTTTCCTTTTTCAGTCACGTTTACGCGTCTCAAACTAATCACGATTACTAAATGCTACGGGAAATTCTCGGTTTTTCAATCGAATAGATTCTGATAGTGAAAAGTGCAAATGTAAAGAAATCACAAATTTTAAATGATAAGATAGCTAGTGCGCATAAAATAACATTTTTTACTTTGACAAGCGTATATCTGTTGCATTTGCGTTTTTTCTTTTTAAACCAAAAAAATTAAAGTATAATAAAATTTTTTAATTGTGTTTAATTAATATAGTTTAGATATGGAAAATAAACACGAATACAAATTAAATAAAAAATAAAATAAAAAATAATGCTGTAACACTCACAATGAAGATTGTAAAACAATAGTTTTTAGAATAAATGTTTTTGTTTTAAAATTGCCGATGCGTTTTCTGAATTTGATTTAAATTTAAATTATCACAAATTGCTACGGGATGTTCGTACGTGCTGTATATTTAGGTAAAAAGCAATTTCATACCATTAATTACAATGAATTAAAGACGTGCAAGGAAGAATGGATAAAGTTAGAACAGAAAGAAATTCAGAGACTTTATAAATCTCTGCCAGAGCGAATAATTGAGGTACTTGAGAACAAGGGAGAAAATTATTAAAGTAAGAAATTTTCCGGTTTTACACTATTCCTTTGTGCTTTTAATAATTTTTCAACTATATTATATTATATCACCTTATCCCGTTAATGTACATATTCTCTCTGTTTTAAATACACGCACATTGATTGCGCACAGTACATGAGTTTCTCATCACGCAAGCAACAAATCGTCTGACGTATATTTAAGAAAAATGTATCACGTTGTTAAAAAACCAAAGACTTTGCCCGAGCAACGTGACAGTCCGAATGATAAATGACAATGAATGCAAATGAGAATAATGTAATTGAAGAGTTCAGCGCAACAGTGATTTAGTCCACTTTTCTAAGAATTCGGAAAAATTAATCTTGAAGTTGGGAAAATACAATTTAGATTAATTTTCTCAAGTTCTCGCGAAAGTAGGTTAAACCACTGTTGCGCCGAAGCTTTTAATTGCAGCATGACTTTAAGCCGAAATTGAACAGAACGAGCAAAAGGAGTGTGTTGCGCGATATGCACAAAGCTCGGAAGTTGGCAAACGACTAATTTTTTCAGCGCGTATTGGCTAATCGCGATCTCTCGCGAACCGCAGAAATCAATAATCGTTATTGCTTAATCAACCAACCAGCGATGTCCGCCGAATTTAATTGACTATAAAGAAACATTTCGCGGGACGTAACCATCATCTAGTTACGATCATTTTACGACGCTTTGTAATTCGATACGAAGGCTCGAGTCTCCGACACATGTGCACGATGAAAGCGTTATGTAATTTGAAAGCCATGCGCCGGAATATTGCATGAAACTTTCAGGAAATGTTAGCAATACCGTTACGGATATAACGATGCCATTGCGGTAACCCTGGGGCGTCTCATTCCCGTACATATTGTACAAACACGAAGGGTTAAATGTGGTTTACCAATTGCGCGGTTAAATTCCGGTACGTTTTCGAATCCCTCCGAGAAAATTACCTGTCGAAGTCAATCGTTCGTTCTTCTACACATTAGCCAACTCATACGCGATACGCGATACTCATACGCTTGATTTCGCGCGATACATTATTACTGTGCTTTGTTACTGTCCTTCAGCGTAATGCGCTGAAAATGTGCTGGACAGCGTCGGTATTAAAAAGCACAGAAATTTATAACTGCGTGTCAATACTTGAGGAGTTAATTTAAAATAAAAAATACAGAACAAATATTTTTATTAGTAAAATAAAATTCTCTTTTTCGAGATTAAATTTAAAAATATTGAAAAATTAGTAATCTTTTCCCCATCGGTACTCGTATAATTTTCAATAGCGTGTTGCAAATTGATGTATTCTCGTTTCAATATTATTAAAATAAAAACAAAAATATGTCTACATAAAAACGTAAAGACGATCTGGATATTCGATAAATAATTTATTCGGTAATTTCAATTACTTTGTAGTGTGCTTAGTGCACACAACGTTCATTATTTTGTAGATATTTTAATGAGCATGAAATCTAATGTAAAGTTATTCAAGATTAAAAATGAGGCAAATTGATCGTCCAATTTTCAAAACTAATTTTCTCAAAAACAAAGTTTTGTATTGAAAAAGTTGGTTTTACATTGGATACAAAATATATAATAGCACATCTATTTCTTGTTTTATGCGAATTTATCATTTTCCAAGTGCTGACACGCAATTAAGAATCGTGCTGCATGCTACGGGATTTATGAGCTTACCTTGATCGTGAACTGTCTGCAGAGTGGTTTGTAGGCATTCGTGCCGCAAACGAGGAAGCGATCAGGACCTTGCCTGCCGAACACTCGCACGTAATTCTGGCACTCGTCGTCGTTGCGCCCCTTCAAGTAGCAAAGCTGACGATGGGCCTCGGTGCTGGACCATTGCAGTTTCTGAAACAGGCAAGATAGAGCAAACATTACTACCTTGGCTCTCGGTCGACTTCGCGTCACGTACACTGCGAAGTACGCGAGTTTGTACAGCAAAATCCGATTAGAGGTCAGCCGAAGATTAATACTCTCGTATGA